GGGGGGAGGGAGGGAGGGGAGGAGGGAGGGACAGTTGGCTGAGGCGATACCGGCACTGGAGCTAGCTATGGCTCTCAACACACTGAAGGTGAGGGGGAGGGGGGAGGCAGGGGAATAGGTAAGGGCGGGGTGGTGAGGGAGGTGAAGGGAGGGTAGGGAAGGGGAGGGACCCATCATCATATAGTGATAGATGTATTGACACACACCTCTGACACATCTGTTGACACACACACACACACACACACACACTTTTGACACATGTATTGACACACACACACACACAGACACACACACACACACACACACACACCTTTGACACATGTATTGACACACACACACACCTGACACATGCATTGACACACACTCACACACATCTGACACATGTATTGACACACACTCATCTGACACATGTATTGACACATAAACACATCTGACGCGTGTATTGACACATACACACACCTGACACATGTATTGACACATAAACACAACTGACACATTTATTGACGCTTATAAACACATCTGAACATGTATTGACACACACACACCTCTGACACATGTATTGTATTGACACACCTCTGACACATGTATTGACACACACACACACACACACACATACACACACACACACACACACACCTCTGACTCATGTATTGACACACACACACCTCTGACACATGTATTGACACACACATACACCTCTGACACATGTATTGACACACACACACACACACCTCTGACACATGTATTGACACACACACACACACCTCTGACACATGTATTGACACACACACACACACACACACACACACACACACACACCACTGACACATGTATTGACACACACACCCCTGACCAAAGCCACACAGAACACCCTCTCTCTCCCGTTGTCCGCTCACACAGGCCTCTGTCTCTGTCACACACTGCCCGCTGTGTCTGCCCGCTAGGCCTAGCACAGGCCTCTATCTCTGTCACACACTGCCCGCTAGGACCAGCACAGGCCTCTATCTCTGTCACACACTGCCCGCTAGGACCAGCACAGGCCTCTATCTCTGTCACACACTGCCCGCTAGGACCAGCAC